AATAAATAAAGCTATTCGAACCTCAGTTCCTGCGGTGGCAATCTGGGTAAAACTTGAAGCGAATGCTGCTGGCATTTCATCAGGCAACGTAACCTGAAAAAGTGGGTTAATGAGACCAGCAATCCTGCGCCTCATCAACGGACGACGACAGCAGGACCTACCAGAGATATCAGCACAAGGTTAGCAACAAGTTTCGGATTCAGACGTTCATAGATGAACTGAGCGGTGATATCTATCGCTGACTGATGAGCCGAATCCGGTATCGGGGCTGCTCCCTCTGTAGCACCTGGCTCGTCATCTCCATAATCATCGTCATCTAGTGGTACTGAAAAGTACTACTGAAAACTTGACACAAACTGAACGAATTTCGGAATAGGCGCATCTGAAAGCATTAGTTATAATGTACAGAAAAAATGGCGGCAGGTTCGGCGAAGGAGGGGGAACGTTTTGTACTTCCGCCGCTTCCCCATTAGTCGTGCGCGTGCCACCAAGAAGAGATTTTGTGAATTTTGTTGAAGCGAAGGGGTACCAGCCAAAGCCTGTACAAACCACTTGGCAATACTTGTAAAGCAATGAACACGACAATACGAAGCAGCGAAAGTGCAGAATAGGCCCCTCCCCCGTCGCCGCACTGCGCTTAGCCTACTAATTGCCATTCGTTGAAGTCAATGTCCATATCTAAAAAAAGTCGCGGCGGGGCACTGGTATTGGGGGAGAGGCAGCGGACGACAATAGGCCATGCCTCTTCTGCTCGGGTGCGCTAAGGTATGTTATGCAGGGGGAAATATCACTGGGCGAACTCTGTCTTGCTGAGAGAGTTCATGGAGAGGAAATAACTATTTAAATAGTTCTCACCAACACCCCCCCCCCCTCCCTACAAACCACGTTTGCCTCCAGGAGGCATCGAATATATACCAAATAGCTCCGAAGGATGCAATACATATTCATCGAAAAAGACCCGTTCCCGCTGAACTGCTACTCTTCCGTTGACAGGATGGGTTTTGATCGTAAAGCTGTCCCCCCCCCCCCCAGTCAGAGACTAAGCGGTTATATAAAAATTCTATAAGCGTGTTATAAAAATTCTATGTTTTCTGTGGAAAAAAACAGCGGTAATTTTTCACCAACAAATTATTTGCCACAATTCACTCACCACCAGATGCATCATCTCCTCTAGCCTTCTTCTTAGTGGCTGGCTCCTCCGCCGCATTCTGCCGCTTGGATGCTTTCCGTCTCAGCTCAGCTATATTCGACGGCATGGCTCGGTTTATCTCCTGAGAAAACGTTACTTACCATCCGGAAAAAAAACAGAGCGGGTCATTTGCAATATTCGCCTTTTAGCATCATATTTTTTGAGATGCAGGCGAAAAAAAAACTATCGAAACTTGTCACCGAGAGTAGAACTGAGTGAAAGCTCGTTTACGAGGGTCATCTGATCCCCTGAGCACGACTGGTGCATTCATTTGGCGTGAACAAACTAGGTGTCCCTTTACAGACAAGGGTACCAGGCTTCCCCCAGTTGGAAAAACTTATAGTCAGGTCCAGACTCGAGCCGATACTTTTGGAAAAGTGGCCCCAATGAGTAGGGTTTCCTAACCGTAATGATCCAAACTTACACTCTGAGATGCTCCTAAATCCGTCAATAAAGTTGTGATCCTGAGATGCAATGGGAGGGAGGACTGGTGCTTCAGTATCCGTAGGAGATGAGCCTTCAACTCCTTCCGCATTGATTTTACCTTAAAAGAATACATGAAGGCTAACATAAGGTATCACACTGACCAACAAAATTGCATAAGGCCGCGTTTATACTTCGCGACCCGGGGCGCCTTCACTTCTAATCGCTGGATCGATATAATCGCAGTCCGATTACATTCAGAAGAGCTCTTTTGAGAGCTCCAGTCCAGGGCTCGATAAGCAGTAAAGCATGGTCGCCACGATCGCGCGTTTTTGGAACCGCGCTTTTTGCGAATTATGAACGCCGCCTCACCAAAGGCGAAATGGAGATGGACACAAAACTAAAATGGGCGATATCGCACCCCACAAGTAACAAATAAATAAACGCACCTGACTAGCTCCTAAAGTGGGCGGGAGGTTAATATGAAGCGCTTCAAGGCAGTCGAGAATCCGTGCCATGTATTCTGGCCTTCGCCGTGAAATCGTACATAGAACCGTTAATACTGTGAGGAGATTCTAAATGAATAATGCTGAGAGAGGTGTCTGTTGAAAACGCAAGGAGTTACTTCTACTGGAGACGTTGAAACGCAGTAATAACCTGAGCAGAAATATGCGGCAATGTGGTCTGATCCATGAGAGATTGAAGGTTTACAGCTGCTTCTGACTGCAGCTTTCTATACGAAATAAATCTATGATCTCGAGGCACTTCATTAAGCGACATGACGTCATCTCCTCTAGCAGTTTCACTCTCCTGAACAGCCTTTGGTTATTATTTGGCTGAAAGACTACTTTTTCACTTGTTATTACCTCAGTCTTCAACGATTGTGACAATACTATAGCTTCCAGGAACTTGAACGTCATTGTACGAATCCTCAAACAAAATTATCATAATACACTAAGGAAACAATTATCTGGCCTAAAGTCGTGAATAAGACAATGAAAGCGTTGGATTATTTGATTCTTTGCCGCTTCTGTCACTGCACAATCGACCGGAGAATCCAGAAAAATAGACCATACAGTGGAAAAGGAGAAATTACCCTTCATTATCCGAATCAGCGTGACTAATAATCCTTCCTTTGAGAACAGAGAACGCTTCCCAACATTTCTCAACGTCAGAGTCTGCTTTACGGCTACACGCCCATTTCAAAATGTAAGGATAGATGTTCGTACAGACGATGATCACCTGAAATTACTGTATAGTATAACTTTCAAAAGCGGTGATTGGCAAGTATGGCTACAGCTGGATTATTTGAAAAACGACCAGTTCAGTTTAGAACACGGAGTTAATTTTCAGGAATAATCAGGCCTTTCCCATTTTCACTTCAACATCACCATTTGCAATGGGAAAAGCTATAAGCAAAATATCTCCACCATCACGGCGTCGACAAAAATGACGTTAAACGTCAATTGGGCGTATATGGAGCAAGGGGCGGGGTCGAAGGTTGCCATAATCATGATTGTTTGGCGTGCTTACAACGCATTTTCGAGCAGGAAAGTGACACATTCTCTGTGCTTGTGGACTGGGTTGCCTTGTCCCAGAACGGCGGCTGCACACCAGATGAACTCTGATTCTTTCATGAATTCGGAGACTTGTATTTGGCGATTCTAATTCAGAGGCTCATGTGAGCTCTAGTCCTGTCGCTATGAGCTAGAAATAGATAAAATACAGCAAAACACTGGAAGTGTAGAAGGACAGAGGATGGACCCAGAGGTGGGCTTACAAAAGGCAGGGACATACGGGGTGCTGAGCGACTTAAATATGTGGAAGGTTGCAGCACCAAGTACAAGCAGGCAGAACATAAGGACCACAAGCTTTAATCGCCCTAGTGGCGTGCATATGGGCCCCCATTCCAAAGAAAAAAGAAATCTACAAATGTTGTGTCATAATAACGTACCCGTTTCATAACCTTCACACCGCCTCGAGACTGACTACCTGACATAAGCAGGTAGGAGAGATGCGTTATGGCTTTTTTCAAGACTTCTGCATCCTTTTTACTGAAAATTCAAAATTATTTTCTGAGCAGTTTCAGAATTGCTAGGAAAATAATGAAAAATGGTTGTGCATGAAACAATTATATATGAAAACTTGTCATCAGCAACACATACCATGCCTTCTCAATGAAATTTGCAGAAAAACAGCGCAT